AAAGTCCCCCGCCCCCCCCCCAAAAAAAAAAAAAAAAAAGAGGCCTTCTTTACAGTGGAGACAAAGCTTACAGGTGGAAGCCAAAAAACTAGGTGTTTCCTCATAGCTTAGGTTGCAAAATGATGAGTTCCTTCATGCTGTGCCTTCCACAACCCCAGTCACCATCCACTTCAGCACATCTTGTCCCCATAAAGTGCTCTGAGCTCTTTGCTGGTGACAGCAGCACACGCGTATATTCAGCTTGGACACCCAAGGAAACACCTCATAGCATTATTGTCTCTGCCCGGCCACACCAGCAGCTCTGAACCCCTTGGCTGATTTCAATCAACGTTACAGAAGCCAAGCTATTTAAGCAGTCAATCTCCCAGAGTTTTCACAAAAATGGGCACTTGGTAGCTGAGAGAAAAAGCAAACCACCCACGCAGTGCCCGGGCTAAACCACACCATGAGTCTGCTTCTTATTAGACACCAAAAATCTATACATGATTCCCCAAAGCTTCACTGCAGATTTGGGCTTTATTTACCATCAACCTCGGCCAGCCACAGGGTTGTCTGTCATTTGTAATTGTATTTTAAAGTTTTTATGCATCTGTGCATATATATATATATATATAAAGTTAATTTAAAGTTTATTTTAAAACATCAGAATCAGCTACATCCCCCTGAAACCCGCAGGCAGCCCAACCATGACCTAAAGCTTCTAACAACCTGGCAAGAGCCACGCGTTCCCAGAGCCCTCTTCCTCCTGTGGCTGGCTTCCAGGGGGCTTGGGAATCACGTCCCCTACTCGAGGGATGGCAGATTTCCAACGCCTTTCCAGATGTTTATCTTGGCAACCTCAAATTCAAATGTTAACAGGCCCAATTAGCAGCCTGGTCATACGTGGATCTTGGAGATGGTTACTGAGTCCAGGTGAGGAGACAAAACAGGAGTGGGTCTTGCAAGTCCTACAGATGTGACACTGGCTGGTGATCCCCGCTTTGGCTTTGGATGCAGCTTTCTAAGTGTCCCCATACCACCAGAGAAACTCACGTGTTGAATGAATGGCTGGGAACAGCCAGGACATGATGGCCCAACACAAGGAGGGCCGCTGGGCACCAGCCCCATGAGCTGGGTCTGGCTGGGTCTCAGGGAGCTCAGCTCAGCACTGCCCAGGGTGGCTTTAGCAGGGGACATCTTCACAGATCAGGGCTAAACTGCCAGCCTCGGTGGCACCAGGGATGATGCAGACAGCACGTTCTTGGGTGCAGCACAACGCCCCGGGGAGCACTATGCTGACAGAAGCAATATATTACATATCCTTACAGGAGAAAATCTTGACTCATCTTTCCCCTTCTTCTGTCCCAAGCTTTCAGCCCAAGAGCTAAGCAAATTCAAACTCTTACATCAAATTTTGCCTCTCAAAATTCTCCTCCACAACTTGAACTTCAGCAGCCCTGCGCCCTTAGAGGACGACGCATTTTAGGAAGCAGCGAGGAAGAGGCCATGGAAATTCACAGGAGACCTTGACATCTCCAGAATGAAAGTCCCAACGGCAGCCGTTGCTGACAGTTACCTGATTGCTGCTGGTTACTCATCAGAGCACACCTTACATGTCACCTACACGTCTTGTGGCACACGTGAAGGTTCTGCAATGCACGAGTGCACACGTGTGCCTTAGCCTGAGCTCACTGCTGCCGTGCAACCTGCACAGCTCAGTGTTTGACTGTTCCACAGCCACGGGCGGAGAAAATTTAAGGAGCTGGAAGGACGCATCAGTTCACGTCTACACCTACGACCTCAAGGGGCACAAACAAAATCAGTCAACTTCAAGACTTTATTCCCAGGCTTAACGTTAGCATGTACCTAGGCAGTTCATCAAAAAATATATATGTAAGGCGTAACCTTGACAGCCAGTCTTGAATTAGTCCATTTTTCTAATCTCTGTAAATCCAATGTTTCTTCATTCTGAAGATTTATACCATTACTGTTATTTTTCTTTACAAACTAACCCCATTGCCTGTCCTAGATAAATATAGATGCAATTCTGATCCATATTTTGAAGGGTATTTCTTTCAAATCACCCTCTCTATTTAGCTATCCTAAATATGGCAGTACTGAAGAGCTACAGAATTACTTGCACAAAGATTCTTGCAATGTTTCTAACCCCAAAATCGCCACTAATGCAAGAACGCAATTAGACCGAGCATTTACAGAGCACAACAAACATCTGACTACACGGTGCATTCGTGTACTAGCAGGGGTTGAGAGCCTCCAAGTAATTGAAGGGATTTATTTTAGGGGAAGGCATGTGACTGCGTATTCAAAACAGCTTAGATGAACTCAACCAAAACGGTTGGGCAAAGCAGATGTCCAGGCAGCCCGTCGGAGGCACGCAAGCAGTGTTTGACACACAGGCACGGCGCCCTACGATGTCGTGGGCGGCTTATATCCGACGGGAAAACATTCACAAGTGGCTGCCCAGGGAGCGAGTGACCGGCTCGTCCCACACCAGCCAGGAGTTTCTGGTTTGGTTCTGCCACGGACCGCAACAACCAGCCCCCGGGGAGCCGGGAGTCACAGACCACACAAATCAAATTGGTTGGTGTTAAGTATCGATACGGACACTTGAAGCAGCTCCTGAGGGAGGGATGGTGGGGGCAATGCTCTGGCTGCTCCTCCCCGGTGTCTGCAGACGGTGAGGAGCACACGCAGTGGGGATTAGGGTGAAAACACAGGTATTTATGAAGCGGCTGCATCCCAACCTCTGCCTCTTGAGCCAAGCGCTCCAATGGCTCACTGCAGAGCGCTGTGCCTCTTTGGATCTCACTAGTGGAGACAAATCAACCCTTTGGCAGGGACAACACACAGCCTCTGCCACCGCAGCCTGGGTACCGCGCTGTCCATCACCCCCCCAGCATCCCCCTTACCTCCGTCAGCGTAGGTCTCGGTGCCGTAGCCGTCCTGCAGGCCGTTATTCCAGGTGCCTTCATACTTGGCTCCGCTGCTCATGCTCTGCCTGGCGCCGTACCGTCCCTTAAAGCCATGGGTCCACTCTCCTCGGTAAACCCACCGTCCTTTGGTCTCGATTCCTAGGCCGTGCCTCTTGCCTTGGGACCAGTAGCCTTCGTAGGTGTTGCCACTGGGCCACGTGTATATGCCCACCACTTCGAAGCCGTAGTTCCAGGAGCCCGAGTACTCGCCCTGCCCCTTGGGGCCGGTGCAGATGCCGTGCCCGTGGGCTTTGCCCCCTTCCCACCCCCCGCAGTAGGCGCCTCCATCATCGAAATCAAACCTGCCGCCGCTCATGGTACCCTCCGGTGCCCCCTCAACCGGGCAGCTTTCCCAGGGGCAGAGCTCCGGGGCGGCTGCCGCATCCGGGCCGCTGGGCACCAGCCCCATGAGCTGGGTCTGGCTGGGTCTCAGGGAGCTCAGCTCAGCACTGCCCAGGGTGGCTTTAGCAGGGGACATCTTCACAGATCAGGGCTAAACTGCCAGCCTCGGTGGCACCAGGGATGATGCAGACAGCACGTTCTTGGGTGCAGCACAACGCCCCGGGGAGCACTATGCTGACAGAAGCAATATATTACATATCCTTACAGGAGAAAATCTTGACTCATCTTTCCCCTTCTTCTGTCCCAAGCTTTCAGCCCAAGAGCTAAGCAAATTCAAACTCTTACATCAAATTTTGCCTCTCAAAATTCTCCTCCACAACTTGAACTTCAGCAGCCCTGCGCCCTTAGAGGACGACGCATTTTAGGAAGCAGCGAGGAAGAGGCCATGGAAATTCACAGGAGACCTTGACATCTCCAGAATGAAAGTCCCAACGGCAGCCGTTGCTGACAGTTACCTGATTGCTGCTGGTTACTCATCAGAGCACACCTTACATGTCACCTACACGTCTTGTGGCACACGTGAAGGTTCTGCAATGCACGAGTGCACACGTGTGCCTTAGCCTGAGCTCACTGCTGCCGTGCAACCTGCACAGCTCAGTGTTTGACTGTTCCACAGCCACGGGCGGAGAAAATTTAAGGAGCTGGAAGGACGCATCAGTTCACGTCTACACCTACGACCTCAAGGGGCACAAACAAAATCAGTCAACTTCAAGACTTTATTCCCAGGCTTAACGTTAGCATGTACCTAGGCAGTTCATCAAAAAATATATATGTAAGGCGTAACCTTGACAGCCAGTCTTGAATTAGTCCATTTTTCTAATCTCTGTAAATCCAATGTTTCTTCATTCTGAAGATTTATACCATTACTGTTATTTTTCTTTACAAACTAACCCCATTGCCTGTCCTAGATAAATATAGATGCAATTCTGATCCATATTTTGAAGGGTATTTCTTTCAAATCACCCTCTCTATTTAGCTATCCTAAATATGGCAGTACTGAAGAGCTACAGAATTACTTGCACAAAGATTCTTGCAATGTTTCTAACCCCAAAATCGCCACTAATGCAAGAACGCAATTAGACCGAGCATTTACAGAGCACAACAAACATCTGACTACACGGTGCATTCGTGTACTAGCAGGGGTTGAGAGCCTCCAAGTAATTGAAGGGATTTATTTTAGGGGAAGGCATGTGACTGCGTATTCAAAACAGCTTAGATGAACTCAACCAAAACGGTTGGGCAAAGCAGATGTCCAGGCAGCCCGTCGGAGGCACGCAAGCAGTGTTTGACACACAGGCACGGCGCCCTACGATGTCGTGGGCGGCTTATATCCGACGGGAAAACATTCACAAGTGGCTGCCCAGGGAGCGAGTGACCGGCTCGTCTCACACCAGCCAGGAGTTTCTGGTTTGGTTCTGCCACGGACCGCAACAACCAGCCCCCGGGGAGCCGGGAGTCACAGACCACACAAATCAAATTGGTTGGTGTTAAGTATCGATACGGACACTTGAAGCAGCTCCTGAGGGAGGGATGGCGGGGGCAATGCTCTGGCTGCTCCTCCCCGGTGTCTGCAGACGGTGAGGAGCACACGCAGTGGGGATTAGGGTGAAAACACCCATATTTATGAAGCGGCTGCATCCCAAGCTCTGCCTCTTGAGCCAAGCGCTCCGATGGCTCACTGCAAACTGCTGTGCCTGTTTGGATCTCACTAGTGGAGACAGGTCAACCCTTCAGCAGGGACAACACACAGCCTCTGCCACCGCAGCCTGGGTACCGCGCTGTCCATCACCCCCCCAGCATCCCCCTTACCTCCGTCAGCGTAGGTCTCGGTGCCGTAGCCGTCCTGCAGGCCGTTATTCCAGGTGCCTTCATACTTGGCTCCGCTGCTCATGCTCTGCCTGGCGCCGTACCGTCCCTTAAAGCCATGGGTCCACTCGCCTCGGTAAACCCACCGTCCTTTGGTCTCGATTCCTAGGCCGTGCCTCTTGCCTTGGGACCAGTAGCCTTCGTAGGTGTTGCCACTGGGCCACGTGTATATGCCCACCACTTCGAAGCCGTAGTTCCAGGAGCCCGAGTACTCGCCCTGCCCCTTGGGGCCGGTGCAGATGCCGTGCCCGTGGGCTTTGCCCCCTTCCCACCCCCCGCAGTAGGCGCCTCCATCATCGAAATCAAACCTGCCGCCGCTCATGGTACCCTCCGGTGCCCCCTCAACCGGGCAGCTTTCCCAGGGGCAGAGCTCCGGGGCGGCTGCCGCATCCCCGAAGGAGCCGGGCTGGGCACCGGGAGCAGCGGCGGCGGTGGGGCCGGGGAACGGGTTGAAGGAGAAATTGGAAGGAGGAGAGAGGGGCAGCCGAACCGCCCCGCTACCTGCTCCACCGCCGCCGCCTCC